TTTTGTCTTGGTCCTGCTCAACTTGAAACCCTTAGACTCCAGAGTAAGTCTCCAGACCTCCAGCCTCTCATTAACACCACCTCGCGTCTTATCAATCAGAACTTTGTCATCCGCAAATAACAAGCACCAAGGCTCCTCACCTTGAATATGTCGCGTCAAAGCATCCATCTTCGGGGAAAAGAAAAACGGGCTAAGTGGTTATCCATGATGCAACCCCATCTCAACCGGAAAGTAGTTAGAGTCTCCTCCTGCTATCCTAACCCATGTCTTAGCTCCATCATACATGTCCTGAATTACTCTAGTATATGCTACAGGCACCCCTCTAGCCTCCAAACATCTCCATAGAACCTCTCTCGGGACTTTGCATAGGCTTTCTCTAGGTCAATGAACACCATATGCAAATCTTTCTTCACCGCCCTATACTGCTCCACCAATCTCCTCATAATGTGAATGGCCTCAGTAGTCGACTGTCCTAGCATGAAACCAAACTGGTTCTCGGAAATGGACACACTCCTCCTCAACCTCCCTTTAATCACCCTCTCCCACACTTTCATCGTGTGGCTTAACAACTTGATACCCCTATAGTTCTTGCAGTTTGGACATCCCCTTTGTTCTTGTACAACTGGATCATCGTAATCTCCCTCCACTCTTCAGGCATCTTCTTTGTCCTAAAAATGATGTTAAACAACTTATCAAGTCATTCCAAGCCCTCCTTACCCATGCTCTTCCAGAATTTCACTAGGATCTCGTCCGGCCCAGTCGCTCTACCCCTAGTCATCCTACCATAGCCCCTATAACCTCCCCTACTCGTATGCGTCTACAGTACCCAAAATCTCGCTGCCGCTCCGAGTACTCCAACTCCTCTAGCACAATGCTCCTATCTCCCTCTTCATTCAAGAGTTTATGGAAGTAAGACTGCCATGTATGCCTAATCTGTGCCCCCTCCAATAAAACTCTACCCTCTTCGTCTTTTATGCACCTCACTTGGTCCAGATCTCGGGCTTTCTGCTCCCTCACCTTCACCACCCTGTAAAACTTCTTGTCCCCGCCTTTATCCCCAATTTCAATGTATAAACGACTAAACATCGCAGTCTTAGCCGCAATAACTGCCAACTTCGCCTCCTTCCTAGCCTTCTTATACCCCTCCCTGTTAGCACTCTTCTGCCCCTCGTCTATACTCTCTACTAGCTTCACATATGCCGCTTTCTTGGCTTTCACTTTCCCTTGAACCTCTTCGTTCCACCACCAGTTCCCTTTATGGACACTAGAAAAAACCCTTCGAGACCCCTAACCGTCACGACCCGAATTTCCCACCTTCGGGACCGTGATGGCGCCTAACATTGCACTCGCTAGGCAAGCCAACGTTACAGAATTTTTCACCTTTTTCCCTTTATCCTTTTATAATTAAAATTTAACAAACTAAGTCAGTGGAAATAAAAGTGGAAATACATAATTTAACTAATTACCATTATACTATTAACCAAAAAACCAAAATAGATACCACCCAGAAACTGGTGTCACAACTCACGAACATTCTACGAATACTACAAGTAATGGTTTGAAAGAAAATACATCTGTCTTGAACAAAGTAAAACAGAAATGAAGTAGAGATAGGAAGGGATGTCAGGGCCTACGGACGCCTGCAGGACTACCTTGGGTCTCCTAAATGCAATCTCAGCAATCGACCTCTTGATCAGCCACTACCAGCTCTGAAATCATCACAGAAAGTGCAGAGTGCAGTATCAGTACAACCGACCCCATGTACTGGTAAGTGCCGAGCCTAACCTCGACGAAGTAGTGACGAGGCTACAGCGGGGCATAATAATATATAACCTGCAACAGTCTATACTAATATAGAAAGGAAATACAGAATGAAATATAACAGTAACTTGCATTAAATAAATACGGAACACATTCGTTTTACCAATACTCAGCTATAATCAATCCTTAAGGGAGTTGCAGCACCACAATAATGAACCTCAGCAGAATATGGATACATAAACAACAAATGATGCGGCGCGCATCCCTATCCCACCATATAATCAATAACAGTATATGTATTCACCCTTATTACTCCTTGTTGCGACGTGCAACCCGATCTCGCCAGTCCACCCTTATTACTCCTCAATATATTCACCCTTATTCCTCCTGTTACGGCGTGCAACCCGATCCCACATGTCCGCCCTTATTACTCCTTGTTGCGGCGTGCAACCCGATCCCACCAGACAATTACATTTCATCCTTATTCCCCATGTTGCAGCGTGCAACCCGATCCCACTATATCAGTACCAATCATAAAGTAAGAACAAGTATTTCACAAATTAGTTCAAATCATCCACAATACTTATACCTCAAACCAACACAACGGAGGATCACTACAACTATGAAACTTCATCAGTCATTACTATGCAGCGAGACCAACCAAAGTGTACCACGAATCACCAATAAACCACCATAAACCAACAGTGTGATATGATGAAACTACGGAACAATCAATAACATCAATAGAGAAACAACATTTAACAAGAAGCAATTAGACATGGAAGCATCAATAAACAAGTAGCAATTAAGACATGAAAGCAGTATATAGGGAAACGGGGAAAGGGAACAGGCTAAACGGGTAATTTGGCGACGCATAAGTGCTCGTCACCACACCAATACGCCACACACATGGTATTTCACATAGCAAGCAAGTCGTGGATCCCTAATCCCTCAAGTCAAGGTTAGACCAAACACTTACCTCAAGCCAACGGGTAATTCACAGCTCAAATACCGCTTTACCTCTCGATTCCACCACCAATCTACTCGTATCTAGCCATAATTAACTTAGTAACATCAACAAACGCTAAAGAAACCAAATCCAATGCATAATTATAGATTTCCTAACATTTTCCCAAAAAAGTCAAAAATCGTCCCCGGGCCCGCATGGTCAAAACTCAAAATTCGAACCAAAACCCGATTACCCATTCACCCCCGAGCCCGAATATACAATTGGTTTTGGAATCCGACCTCAAATTGAGGTCAAAATCCCCAAATTTCGAAGTTCCTAAATTTAACCCGAAAACACCCAATTCCACCACGAAAAACCTTAGATTCTAGGATGAAATCTTGTAAAAAGATGAAATAGATTGAAAGAAATGAGTTAAGAATTATTTACCTATGATTTGGGGAAGAACTAGTCTTTGGAAAATCGCATCTTGAAGTCTATGTTTTGAAAAATGAGAGAATGAATGAAAAATCCCATCTAAGTTATGTTTTGAACAGCTGCAGATGTCGCATTTGCGACCTGAGCTTCGCAAATGCGAAGCTCGCAATTGCAAAGGGGCTATCGCAATTGCGAAGCCTTCACAATTCCTGGTGCCTTCTCAAATGCGAGGAAAGTGTCGCAATTGCGATCACGGACCTCGCAAATGCGAACAAAAGATCGCCTTTGCGATCCATTCCCCTCCCAGACCCCCTTCGCATTTGCGAAGGTTTGTTCGCATTTGCGAACTCTACTGGCCCAGCCTTCTAGTCGCATTTGCGATAAAAGGCTTGCAAAAACGGACCCTGCAGGGCTCGCAATTGCGATGCCCGATCTCGCAATTACGAGATCAGGGGCCTGCAACAGCTGAAGCATACCAACAATATTTTCCTAAGTCCAAAATCATTCCTTAGCCTATACAAAACTCACCCGAGCGCTCGGGGCTCCAAACCAAACATGTACACAAGTCTTAAAACATCATACGAACTTGCTCATGCGATCAAATCGCCAAAATAACACCTAGAACCATGGATTCGACACCAAAACACATGAAATTTTCAAGATAGTTTCAAACTTTCTATTTTCTCAACCAAAGGTCCGAATCACATCAACTCACTTCCGTTTTTGACTAAATTTCACAAATAAGGTTTAAATATCATAACGGACCTGTATCGGGCTCCGGAACCAAAATACGGGCCCGATACCAACAAGATCAAATCTTTTAAGTTATCACATTTTAAGTCTTATCAATTTTTTTAAAAAATTCATTTCTCCGGTTAGGGACCTCGAAAATCATTTCCGGGCATACGCCCAGGTCCCATATATTACTACGAACCCTCCGGGACCGTCGGAATACAGGTTCGGGTCCGTTTACCCAAAACGTTGACCAAAGTCAACAAAAATCATCTTTTTAAGCCAAAAATCATCATTTCTTAAATTTTTCACATAAGAGCTTTCCGAATACACGCCCAGATTGCGCACGCAAATTGAGGAGAGATAAAATGAGGTTTTCAAGGCCTCGAAATACGGAATCGGATTCTAAAACAGTGACCCTTTGGGTCATCACACTAACACCTCCCTCGCCGCCTCTCTAGTATAATTTGTTGCATATACCACATAAAACTCGCGTCCCCGCTACTCCTCCACGCCCCCATAGCCAGCAAATTCGCCTCCAACTCCTGGGCCTTCTGCTTAGTCAATGCACCCCACCTGACCCTAGGTATACCAGACATAGCCCTCTTCTTCCTCGTCCACATGATCTTTAAGTCCATAATCAAAAGCATATGCTAGGTCGTAAGGTTCTCAATCGGGATGACCTTGCAATCCGTGCATAAACCTCTATCACATTTTTTGGAGAAGTAGATAATCAATATGGTCTTGTCCATCGTACTCCAAAAGTTATCAGGTGCTCTGCCTTCTTAGGGTAACACGAGTTAGCGATCACCTGCTTAAAAGCTTTAGTGTACTCCAGCAGCGAAGTACCTCCTTCGTTTCTAACAAAATATAATTTAAAATAGGATATTGTAGATATAAAAGATACAGGCAAGCAAAAAAGAAAAAAAGTACCGATACCATGAATACCAGAGAGAGAACGAAAGAACCCGGAACAAGTTTTCCTGAAGTGTGTCGGATATGCTCAAGAGCACTGACAGTCATGTTGCGTCTCGTCGGAAAGTTGTTCGGAAGTCGCCATAATTAATGAAACTTGTCAGAAATCTGTACACACGCTGGGAAATAATCCGTCCTCGTCGGAAAAATGTTGCACCTGTCCAGAGAAACAAAACGCACCCACCCACACATACAAAGGGGGGAGAGAGAAAGGGAAAGAAAGAGAGAGGAAGGAGAAGATGGAGCAAGACAAGATGGATCGCCAGAAAATGCAAAACAAGAAGAGTCGCCGGAAATCAAGGGTCGCCGGATTTGCAGCAACTCGCCTGGAACACGCACGTCCCGACTGGTCGTCGCACCCACCCGAACAGAGAAAGATGGGAGAAGAAAACGACTCCGGCGGCGAGAAGGGCCAGAAGCTACCGAAAAGAAGATAAGGAAGAAAAAGGAGAGAGAAAGAGAAAGAGAGGGGGAGAGAGAGGACGGAAAGAGAGAAGTGAACTTACCTGTAACAGCACCTGCGACGGTGATGGCGACGGCGAAGCAGCAAATGCCATAGTGTAGCTACCGGGGGGCTACTGGGGGTTACCGTTTGGGG